CTACATCATGGGCTTAGAAAGGTGATAGGCAAGTAAATTGTCCCCATATCTCCTTACCATTTTAGTAAAGTCATAGTGGGAGAATGGAGATTTTTCCAGATTTGATTATCAGAAGGCATGAGTTACTCTGAGAAACCAAAGCCATGTTGTGCTTCTTCTGATGGGCTTAAGAGACCTGGGGGATGGATCGAGTGTCCTTTATAATTGATTATGAGCTCACTTGTCCATTCTGCTCTTAATGGCAGCAGTGTTTCGTTGTCCACTCTTCTATTACAGATTAGGATGTGGAAAGCATAGCTACAGTTATCATTTTTAAGATACATCAGGAGAAAATGCATTCCTCATTTCTTAGGTAAGCTTCACTASAACTTTCTGGCTAAAATTTTATTAACCTACAAAGATCTTTCCCCTATTATAAACTAGAAGCAGGAGTCAGGACATTACATACCAGAAGAAATAAACATCCAGCAAACGTATTCTTATTTTGAGGGACTTAATACATCTTTTTTGTGTTCTGTACAAAGTGCACAATGACTAAATTTTAAATAGTACTGGTGTAAGCTATTATTAATGGCTTTGCTCATTAAGTATCATGGGGATTTGAAATAGGATGCCCTATTTTTAGCCTAGGCTCTAGATAGAAATAGTGCTTATTAGATGGCCGACACTATTCTGAGACTGCTGCCTATAATAGTTCATTTAATACAGCAAAAATGTTAAGGTGGGTTCTAAGATTATCTCCATTTTGWAGTGAAGAAGCTCAGACACAAAAATTAAATAACCCACCTAAGATCACATAACAATGGTAGATGTAACCTCCTGCCTCAAGGGTGGCTGTAAATATTGCTCCCACAAAGAGATTTCTGCCCTAATGAAGAACATAGGACAAAGAGCCTCCAGGTAGACACCCAGGAACCACATTCCTCATTGTGGTGGAGACCACGATTTGGCCCTTAGCACTTATTCCAGTTCTCTTCTCTCTTCCAGTTCCTTCCTGTAGCACAGAATACGCTAATACATTTGGATTCCTAAGCAGAGACTAGAAACTTTTCTAAGGTAGTGATAAATACCTTTAGGGAAGAGGTTGACCTCTTAGCAGAGATGGCCTAATCAAGAATACAGATTGTTTTGTTTCATGTGTTATTTTCATGTGTCATGCATTTGCCAGTGTTATTATTTGTGCCAGGAAAACAGATACTTATCAAAAATGTCAGTCCCTTAGAATGTGTTGTGCATAAAAATTGTACAACAAAGTATATATTTTTCTCTTTAAAATGTGTTATTTGGCCATTTTATCAGTTTTTTGCAATTCTTCCCACCAACGCCCCCCTTCCTTTTCTCATTTGTGCTTCTATGGATTCCTTGATACTTAACCCATTTTTATACTTTCTGTATTCCAAAGAAATTATCTGTTTTCCTAAACAAATCACCAAATATATTAGAAACTCCTGGGAACAAAGATCATGTCTCATTCACCTGTGTATCACCAGGGTTTAGCAATACCAAGAATGGAAAAAAAAAGTATGCAGTGCATATTATCTAATACATGAATGAACATTCTTCTTCTAGATGTTACTGTTTATGAACACCTGACCATATGTACTAAGGTGAATATTCAGGTGATCAGAGTGGATAAATTTAGGAATATAGCACCTCTTGGAGAATTGCCGTAATGAGGCAAATTTCTACCTGGGTGTGAAACTCATTATATCTGTACTGAAGACCCAGGGAGCTAGAAAAATATTATGCTTTTTTGCAGAAATGAGGCAATTACTGTAAAAGGCATATTATGCAATCATCTTAGTAACCCAAACAGGGCTGTAAGCACACACTGTAAATATAAAGACAGGTAAATTTTGCAAACAAGTGATCTTCCAAAGGATACAAACAGTTCTTGCTGCTAATGAAGCAGAGATGGTGCTCCTTTGCCCAGTCATCTTTGCAAAGAAGGAGCAGCTCAAAATGTGCAATCAACATAGTAGATTACAGGTGCATTTGCCAGTACTCTCATTTACTCCTCTCTTGAAAGGCTGAAGTTTTTACTACCCACTCCTCACTTTGCAGATGAGGAACCTGAGGCTGTAGACATGACAATATTGGTAAATGGCACAAAAATCCTCAAGCTTTCCTTTTTGAACATTATCATTGCCTATTTTCTCAGTCCAGCCAAATGCAGGGTGAAAACCTCAGGGTATCCTAAGAGGAAAAAGGACAGCCATGACCTGTTTCTCTCTCTGCAGAGCCTTGACTCTGGTACTGTCTTCAGTCTCAGATTTGGACACTCAAAACATGGTTTTCCCAAAGGCTCAGATCCAGCTAGCTCAGTTGATTACTTTCTAGTGAAGTGAAAACTACAAAAGCCTCATAAAATCAAGGTAAAATTCATATTCCTAGCTTCATGTGCACTGAGAATATGGGGTCTGAAACCAAGGAGGTGACAGTCAACTTGGTCTTTTAGGACCAGTTCACTCCAAGAATGTGGCATTTCTCTCTGGGCAATGGGCTTTAAGACATCAGCAGGTTGCAATGTGATGAGAAAAGAAAGAGCAGTAAATGAAAACCCACAATCACTTATTAGGTGCTCCCAGTACCTCCAAGCAGTAAGATCTTCCCTACCTCAGCCCTCCCCACACTCAGCTTTATTTTCCACCCATGCAGCTCTTCTCATCCTTCAGTGCTCTCTAACCACCCTGTTGGACTTCTTCCTTGTCACTTTGTCAAAGCACCCTGTTCTCTTTCTTCATATCTCTTACTGCAAGTTACAATACTACATTTATTTCTTTGCTTTTTGTTTAAAAGTGTCTTCTTAATTGTTTGTAAGCTTCAATTTATAACCATATTGGTTTTGCCCGATACCATGGCCCTGCACCTTCCTCAGCATCTGGTAGATAGCTGGATCTTAACTGTTGAATGAATAAATGAAYGCTTGAATTCAGGAAGGAATGGGAAAATAAGTTCATGGATGAGTCTCATATACCAGATGATTATACTGTCCAGGTCAGAGAAGAGATGATATGGTCAATGAGAACTGGCACTAAGATACAAAGCATTATTAAACATTTTCTTTATGTCTTATCCTCAATCTCAAATGAGTTAGATGGCAGAATCTTTTTGAAGAAGACTTTCTTTTTTATCTATTCTAATTTGTTATATATGACAGCAGAATGCATTTCAATTCATACTACACATATAGAGCACAATTTTTCATATCTCTGGTTGCACAAGAGTCACACCATTCATATCTTCATACATGTACTTAGAGTAATGATCTCCATCTCATTCCACCACCTTTCCTATTCCCATGCCCCACCCTTTCCTCCCTCCCCTTTGCCTTATCTAGAGTTCATCTATTCCTCCCATGATCCCCACCCCACAATCCCCATTATGAATCAGCATCCTAATATCAGAGAAACCATTTGGCATTTGGGTTTTGGGGATTTGGCTTACTTCATTTAGCATTATATTCTCCAACTCCACCCATTTACCTGCAGATGCCATGATTTTATTCTCTTTTAATGCTGAGTAATATTCCATTGTGTATATATACCACAGTTTCTTTATCCATTCATCCACTGAAGGGCATCTAAATTGTTTCCACAGTTTAGCTATTGTGGATTGTGCTGCTATAAACATTGATGTGGTTGCACCCCCATAGTATGCCGTTTTTAAGTCATTTGGGTATAGACCAAGGAGTGGGATAACTGGGTCATTTAATCTACCTAGTTTTCCAAAGAATCTCCATACTGCTTTCCATATTGGCTACACAAATTTGTAATCCTACCAGCAATGTATGAGTATGCCTTTCCCCCACATCCTCATCAATACTTATTATTGTTTGTATTCTTAATAGCTGCTATTCTGACTAGAGTGAGGTGAACTCTTAGAATAATTTCGATTTGCATTTCTCTAATTGCCAGAGATGTTGAACATTTTTTCATAAATTTGTTGATTGACTGCATATCATGTTCTGAGAAAGGTCTGTTCAGTTCCTTAGCCCATTTATTGATTGGACTATTTGTTTGGGGTTTTTTGTTTGTTTGTTTGTTTGTTTTGTTTTGTTTTGTTTTGTTTTGTTTTGGTGTTAAGATTTTGAGTTCTTTATATATCCTAAAGATCAGTGCTCTATCTGATGTGTGTGTAGTAAAAATTTGCTCCCATTCTGTAGGCTCTCTATTCACCTCACTGATTATTTCTGTTGCTGAGAAGAAGCTTTTAGTTTGAATCCATGCCATTTATTGATTCTTGATTTTAATTCTTGTGCTATAGGAATCTTATTAAGGAAGTCAGGGCCTAATCTGACATGACGAAGATTTAGGCCTACTTTTTCTTCTATTAGGTACAGGGTCTCTAGTGTAATTCCTAGGTCCTTGATCCACTTTGAGTTGGGTTTTGCGCATGGTGAGAGATAGGGGTAATTTTGTTTTATTGCATATGGATTTCCAGTTTTCCCAGTACCATTTGTTGAAGAGGCTATCTTTTCTCCAATGTACATTTTCGGTGCCTTTGTCTAATATAAGATAACTGCAATTATGTGGGTTAGTCTCTGTGTTTTCTATTCTGTACCACTGGTCTATCACTCTGTTTTGGTGCCAATACCATGCTGTTTTTGTTACTATTGCTCTGTAGTATAGTGTATAGTGATGCCACCTGCTTACTCTTGGAGGAAGACTTTCATATATGTTTTCATACATATTGGAGCCATTCAAAGTGCAATGAACTGTGATTATTTCTCTATTTCCAGCAAAGTTGAAGAACCAGCTATGTGATCATTTCCAGGAATGTTGGGTGGGGAAAAGATTCCTGCATTAAAAAGAGGTTGGTCCTGATGGTGTCTTAGCATGCTTCCAGCTCTCTGATTCTATGATTCCAGGTGTTGTTTTCTGCTGTGAGCTGGGAATGACATTCACATCTTTTACCCTTTTTTTCTTTTTATTCCCCCCCCTCTAAATAAGCTATTGCCTGATATGTTTCTCTGCTCTACTTTTTTTGTGTGAATATAGATGAAGTCTTGTCTGAAAACTTTCTGGACTATAAGAACCGTGGAGTCAATGGTTCTCATCGGGGCCAGATCATCTGGAAGATTGATGCCAGCTCTTACTTTGTAGAACGTGAGTACTTTTACCATTCTTGCTCAGCCGACATGGCCGATGCAAAATTCAACTGCTCTGTTCTTTGTCTTGTGGTCTCACTTCCACCTAGAAATTTGTCATGTAAAACAGAGAAGTAGATCAAATGAGATCCTTAAAAAGACTTTCCAGTAGTGAGTAATGAGTTCTAGAACAACTGGGTAACAGCCATACAAACCAACCCAGAGGGCTACTCTAATACCAAAGAAAACTGTTCTTCATATTCATCAGCCTCTAGACTCTGGCTCATATCCCCTGACTTTTACTTCAGGCTTCTCCAATTTTGATATGTGGGAGACCATATCTTCTCAACATGTTCCCTGTCAACAAGTTTTACCTTTTCCTGATCCAGTGATTCAAGGCTCCTTAACCATTGCCCCACTATGCTGATAATATTCCACACTTTTTTCATAACCTTTGGCTCTTGCCACAACTCCACAGAATGGGGATCACATGTTAGTAATGCCAGACAAGTTCTTTGACTCCTAATCTACAGACATTTCTGGGTGCATAAACTTGGTGTTGTTTATACTAGCAAAATATTATGCTAAGCAAAATAAGCCAATCCCCAAAAAACAAAGGTCAGATGTCCTCTCTGATATGTGGATCTGAACACACAACAAAGGAGGGGTATGGGAAGAATAGAAGTTCAGTGGATTAGACAAGGGGAATGAAGGGAAGGACAGGGGGACAATAATAAGAAAGACAGTGGGATGAATGTGACTTAACTTTCCTGTGTACATATGTGAATCTCCACATTCTGCACAATCACAAGTTTGGGATCCTAATTAGAATTAGATGTACTCCATGCTAAGTCAAAATATACTGTACTGTCATGTATGTTGTTCATGTAAAAAAAAAACAAAAAAATAATGATTTACATTTGTTCATGTAAAAAATAATGATTTACATTTGTTCATGTAAAAAGAACAAAAAAATAATGATGAGAATATAATACAATCTGTGCTAAGAAGTATAATAAAACCATCTCTTTAAAATAAAATAACCGAGTGAAAGCATATTCAAACAGGGTTAAGGAACAATAACCTATTAAAAAACAAAAAAACAACAACAATAAAAGCAAATGGCTTAGAAAAGGCATATTCAAAATAACTGAACACTTTAGAAAAGTAACGTTTTTAAATGTTCTTGTGCAAACTTGGAAAGATTCTTGTCCTCAGTCCACCTGCTGAATTAGCAGTGTCTTGTTTGGGGAAAATGAATGAAAGGGTGGATATTTACATTTTGTATATATATGTCAAATGAGTGACCAATACATTAAGAAACTGTTATTCTATTCTAATAATAGAAGTTGTCAAGTTATAAAAATTGACAAATTTAATTTGTCAAAAGCAAAAATTTATCAAGACAAAGTTTAATTGAGCTTGAAAATGATTAGAATATTAACTCAGGGGCACACATATAAATCAAGTAAATTAAAAAGTTACAATGAATAAGGAGTCTAAGGAGTCTACATGCATTAAAAATTATATATCACATACTATATAAATTTATATTTTTATGTAAAATAATTTTAATTTTCAAAAATGTATGATTGAAAATGGGCCAAATTAACAAGTAAGGAGAATTAGATTTTAAAATGTTCTGATACAGCTATCCTTCATTAACACATCAAGACATCAAAGGTTCTCTTGCTGTAATAAAAATGCAGAATCCAGGCCATTTTCTAGAAAGTTACAGAAGTGTTTGTTATGATCYAAAAATAAGATTCTTCACAATCTCCTGATGGCAATAAACACATTAACTTAATTGATAAATTATACTACCTTAAAATTAAGAATAATTTTGCTAACATTGAACATAGTCCAGATTTTATATATTGAAGTATATAAAAAAAAAAGGTCACTGTTTCTACTTGGAGGTTAAATTAAAATAATAAAACAAAATGATATTTTCCTTTTATTTTTATTCTTTTTTTCCTCTTTTATTATTTATTTTAATGAGAGTGGAAGTATATTGCATATGACCTGGAGTCTGTAATGTTTTAATAGCATATTTCTTTGGGGGTTATGATTCAATTTAGAAGCAGGTAATTGCTATTGATTTATACAATTTTTTAAATGGTCTGACTAAATCAGATTTTGAAAGTACCACCAAATTAGAAGTATTCTAAAAACATATTTTCTGTACTCTCCAAGGAGTTACATACATGATAAAGACAAAAGAATCATTTCCTATTCTCTGGCATGATTTTTCCTTAGAGGGCCCCTGGGATCTGTCTACAGTAATAATGATGTGATATGAGGTCTGGAGAGATGCAGCGTTTAGCACGACAAAAGAAGGAACCGGTGAAATTTTAACTCTACCCATCCTGATAAAATCCTACAGTGGTGTTTTGTTATAGTAATTCAGTGTTGATTTTTTACTACATGAAGTTGGACTCAGCAGGCCAGTCTCAAACCTTCAGAAGGAGTTAAAGTAGGCCTTGTTGACTGCATACTCCTATCAGAAGTCGGGATCTCAGTCCCAAATCTGCTGTGTATCCCCCTGCTCATCAAACTGTAGTAGGAAGAACCAAGCCGTGTGGCTAGAACAACTGCTCACTAACACCAGTCAGGAGTGCTCCTTTCTCCACCCACTCTTGTGTTCTTATCATTGTTTAGGCACCCCCTTCTCACCTCTGTCCAGGTATAAACAAAAAACTAGAGTCATGTGACTACTGTGCCTTGTCTTCTTGTGCTGTCCCTGGTCTGTACCACCTGTCTACTGCCTGTCTCAATTCTCAAGTCAGTTGATAAGAAGCTGAGGGGCTTTCAGATTCAGCTGCTTCCCCATCTCTACCCTTCATTTCCAGCGTGGAAAAGTGATCTCGATTCATACCAGATTCTCTGAATTTGTCAGAAGAATATCTCTCGAACACCTTTTTCAGCACATCATTTTCCAATCCTTTTCCATCACATCATCCATCTTAGTCTATTCAGGCAACCGTAACAAAACATCTTAGAGAGGATAAGTTATCGATAATGGAAATCTATTCATGGAGGCTGGGAAGTTCAGATCAAGGTACTAGCAGATTGGGTATCTAGTGAGGACTAATTCTCTGCTTCAAAGATAACACCTTGCTGTGTCAAAGAAGGGGCCAAAGAGGATAGAGAACTTCATCCCCTTTTATAAGGGATTAATGTCATTTGTCATCACCCCCCACCAAGGCCCCACCTCTTAATACTTTAATATTGTCAATTAAGTTTTAGTTTTGGAAATTTCGGGGAATACCTTCAGACAATAGCATCACTCCAAATTAAAACAAGAACAAAAAGAGAAAAACAGTAGTCCCTGATTATACCTAACAGAAAATCTAAGCTATTGATCCTACTGTAAGTTTTCAATGACCTCTCTCTGAACATAGCAAGGCAGGAGTTACACATGTGAGCCTGACAAAATTGGCCTCATCACCCTCAGCTTCAGCAGATGGCTTCCAAGTGAGAAGTGGTGTCTAAGGGACCACTGTGGCTCATGGATGGTCCCTTAGATTCTAAGCTTCTGGTTTCTTTGTCTATAAAATGAAGATGATCTACTTCCCCATGAGGTTATTCCATGCAAACCACCTGAGAAAGCATGGGTGATTCTCCAGGCATGCACCTGGGACAGAAAGCACTCAGTAAACACCAACTGGACTGCTGTCATTACAAGGCTTTGGACTAGGAATTGTGAGTGTTGCTCCAACACAGCTCAGGGCAGGAATGTACAGTCAGCTTTGATTTCTGCTCTGGAAATAGACATCTTGATGTCTTAGTGACAACTGTGATTTAAATGGCTATATGCTGAGAATTTTCTGTGAGGAAATCCTTTGCAGCCAAATTTGGAGACTGAAGGTCACTGAAGGAAAAGCAGGGCTTCAGAAGAACTCGATGACTTCCTTTCATTAACATTTCTGACACATGATTTCTCCTCCATGGAAAGGCCAGAAAGACTAGCATTGCAGGAACCAGAGGCAGCCAGCTCCGTATGAGATACAGGGAATTTGTCAGACCACAATCCAGATGGTCAATGTGACATGTTTCTAGAACCTTTTATTTGGATTTAGGCAGGTCTTCACCAGGACTATTCTTCCTTTTGAGTCAATATGACCATGACTGTACTATGGGCTTCCATTTTCAATCATATTTTATTATTTTTTAGCAAGAAGTCGCAATTTGTGGTGCAATAATCTTTTGGTCCATAGACTCTAAGCCCTTCAGAAGGTTAAGTCTATTAAGCATTGAACTGTGCAACATAAAACTGTGACAAATATACTGTTTCAGAGGCTTTCTATTAGGAACACGAATGACTGCTTATAAATATTTGCAAGACAACAGGTATGTGTGTGTGTGTATGTGTGTGTATACACACACATACACACACACACACACATATATCTTATTTTTAATTATATAACTCCATGGAAATCATGCTAAAGTGAAATCATGGTTAAAGTTGCATTGCATGACAATCATAAAGGAATTCCAGTATTTCTTATATTCTTACTTGTGTGCCTTAAATTTTGAGGAAAGTATTCATGGTTCACAGTAATACTCTTAAATTTTCTTTTTGATCAGTGACCTTTCACCACATGATTTCCCTGGTGTCCTTCCCACCTAATCTTCTCCAGAAGTCTATCTCTGATCATAACTACACTCATGTTGTCTTTCTTCTCATTTCCTTCAAATTTTGCTTTAGAAAACTAAAAGAAATAATCTTGCTAGGGAAAAGCCTCCTGGGGTGATAGGGGAACGAATCTAAGCTATAAAATCCATAATCATTCACTTGTTAGCAGACCAGAGTGAAAAGGATAGAAATATTCATACACTAATAATTGTGTCCCTTTGATATTATTGCATATCATGCGATATCATATTATACATCTTGTGTGCTAATGGAGTATACAAAGAATATAAAAGTAATTAAAATTAGAATTGCTTAGAGATAGCTTTTTGGACTAGGTCTTCACAAAAGAGAAAGATTAAAGGGCATGGCACTGATAG